GTTTTTGGGGTGAGTGTGTTCTCACTGTAGGTTACCTGATTAATCGGCTGCCATCGCATGTCATCGGCATGAAGACTCCCTAGAAACTTCTTCTAGGCCGAGTCCCATCTTACTCCCATCTTCTAACATTTGGCTGCCTTGTCTACACTAAGGATACTCACCATAATCTTGATAAGTTTGCTAATCATGGGCGTGTGGGTGTCTTTATCAGCTATCCAGATTCCCAGAAGGGTTATCGTGTGTTTGATCTCACCTCTTGTAAAATCATTGTTTCTTGGGACGTCCATTTTGTGGAGGATACATTTCCATTTCGCGAGAAGTTGCCTGTTTCTCCTTTGCCGTGGGCTTACCCTACTCCGCCCTCAGTGTTGCATGAACTTCCCATGCATGAGCTACGTGATGAGGGGGAGCTCTCGTTGGTAGATGACGAGCTGGTCGACGAGGTTGGTGCTGGGTCTTCCTTGGTTCATGGGGAAGCAGTATCCCCCATGTCCGATTCACCATCTTCCACCAGTGGTAATGATCATCACATCTCCGTAGCCGATGTCCCTCCCGTTGAAGAAGTTCCTCCTATCCCGCCACCTCGTCGCAATCCAAACCGCGACCGACGTCCGCCTTCTCATCTTGCTCCCTATGAGGTTAAGTTACCGGGTTTGTCCTCTAATCATGTTCTCTTTCCCGTTTCTGATTACATGAGTTATCATCGTTTTTCTGCTAATCATTGTGCGTTTTTGGCTGCCATGACTTGCCTTGTCAAGCCGCGCCATTTCTCCCAAGCCGCCCAGTACTGACAGTGGCGTGAGGCCATGCAGAAGGAGATTGATGCACTGGTTGCTAATGGGACTTGGAATTTGGAGTATCTACCACCTGGGAAACGTGTCATTGACTGAAAATGGGTATAAAAGATCAAGTTTAATCCCGACGGCTCAGTTGAGCGCTTCAAAGCTCGTCTTGTTGCCAAAGGTTTTACTCAACTAGAGGGGATTGATTTCCATGATACATATGCCCCCGTCGTGAAACTAGTCATTGTGCGGGTTCTCTTAGCTGTCGCAACTTAGAAGGGTTGACCACTTCACCAGCTCGACGTCAATAATGCGTTCCTCCACGGTGATCTTGATGAGGAGGTATATATGCGTGTGCCACCAAGGTTTTCCAAGGAATGTGATTCGCGCGTTTGTCATCTTCGAAAGTCCCTGTATGGTCTTCGTCGAGCCTCGCGTAATTGGTATGATAAGTTCATTGCCGCCTTGGTAGAGATTGGGTTCACAGTTTCTCGTGCAGATCACTCACTTCTCATTTATGAGGCCCCTGGCATTTATGTTGCTGCATTGATCTATGTCGATGATATCATTTTGACTGGAGATCACGCAGAGACCATTTCCCGGGTCAAGACTTTTCTACACGATCGCTTCAGCATTAAGGACTTGGGCCCTCTCAAGTACTTTTGGGCATCGAGGTTGATCGTTCTCCATATGGGATCGTGATTTTCCAGCGCAAGTATACACTTGATATACTGGCCGATTTTGGTATGCGTGCAGCTTGTCCCAGTGGGTTCCCGATGGAACAGAATCATACTCTCACTCGCCCCTGTGAGGAACGTGCGAATGATGTTAGCTCCTATCGTCGTCTCATTGGGCGTTTACTATATCTCACCATCACCATGCCTGACTTTGCATATTCCGTCAATGTTTTGAGTCAGTTTGTCCATGCTCCTAGTCCCGATCACGTTGCTGCTGCCCACCGAGTCCTCCGCTATCTCAAGTCGGCACCTGGGCAAGGTCTTTTCTTACCTGCTACTGGTTCGTTGGATCTTAAACCTTATTGTGATGTTGACTGGCCAGGTTGTCAGTCGACTCGTCGTTCTATGACGAGCTATTATATCCAGTTGGGTAGCGCCCCTGTCTTTTGGCGGGCTAAGAAGCAACGCGTTTTAGCTCGCTCGTCGGCTGAAGCTAAGTATCGCGCCATCGCTAGTGCCACTAGTGATATTTTATAGCTTCGATTTTTGCTGGGTGAGTTGCGTGTTCCGCAGCAGTCTCCCACTCCGCTTTACTGTGACAACCAAGCTGCTCTCCATATTGCCCCTAATCCTGTCTTCCACGAGCGTTCTAAACACGTCGAGATGGACTGTTACTTTGTTCGTGAGCGTGTAATTTCTGGGGAGATTCAGCCGCGCAAGGTGCACACCAGTTCCCAGCTCACCGACATCTTCACTAAGGCGTTGGGAACGGAGCAGTTTCATGCTTTATTGTCCAAGTTTGGCATTTGTAACATTCATGCTTCAGCTTGAGGGGGAGTCTTGGACCTACTTGGACTGTTTTCATTTTATTATGTGGACTTTTGTATTTTGCCTATGTACCCGTGTGATAGCCGAAAGGTATATAAGGCTTGTTCGTGTACTGGGTTTTCCAAGAACCCTAGCAGAAAACCTACAGCCTATAGACTAGTGAGATTGCTTCATGAGAGCTATGCTCTCTAGGGATTAGTCCCGGATTTCTGGGGAAACCACGTAAATCATGTGTTCTTTCCGCATTTCTTTATTTTATAGTAAAATATGCCAAGCATCGCTTAATCCTTAGATCACGATTCATAGATTTAATGGTCAAATTATGAAAAAGAATATTTAAAATAATAATATTAATACTTTTGTCATTATAAAAAATCTCATAAAGTACTAGTATTTTCCATTCTTTATTTTTTTTCCCTGCATAGGGGCATTCCCTCTAACCATTTTTTATAAGGGTGATATAGATTACTTTTGTGATTAGTTACTACTTAGGAGATTCAAACCTAAAACTTCCATGTCCAATGCTAGTAGTATTATCACTAGACCAATCCCTCTAACATTTTTTCTTTCTTTCAAGTGGTTTCTTCTCTCATTCCTTTTACATTTAACCAAACAATTAATACCCTCTTCCCATATGAAGAGAAAAGGTAGGAAAATGAATTTTTTTTGCATACTCATTGACTTTCTTGAGTCTTTTTAATAAGTATATAAAATCTGTAAATATTAACATCCAAAAGTATCCAAAGGACAAAAGAATACAAACTAGAAATAAATAACATCCAAACCACATACTACATGGTATGCAAAGTAGACAATAAAAATGTAAAAATCATATCATAAAGATATACAAACCAATATTATAAGTCACACAAACCAAAGTATACAACAGAACATAAAAGTATATGAACTATAAATACAAAGAATACAAGGAAGAATAGAAAAATATACAAACTATAAATACCAAGTATACAAACTATAGAATAAAAGTGTACAAAGAATTACTAAATGATATACAAATTATAATATAAAACGTGTACAAATCATATTATGAAAAATACACAAACAAATATTACAAGATATACAAAATAAATTATGAAAATGTGCAAACTAGTACTAACAATACAAATCACCACTACTTATAATATAAATTATATGACTTGCATTACAAATCAAATCATAAAAATACACAAATTAATATTACAAATAATACAAGTCTTGACCATAAAAATACCCAAATAAAATTGATATTACATACAAAACATACCAAGTTTAAAAAATATAAATACTTACAATATAAAACAATAACGTATTCATATTAATATTAAAAAGTATACAAACCAACGATAAAAATATAAATCAAAATTAATATTACAACGTATACAAACCACATGATAAAACTATACAAATTATAATGATATTATATAGAAAGAACACTAACAATACAAAATGACAAGACATGCATTACAAATCAATACTTACTTTCTCAATTGTGCTCACTAATCGACTGTTCCTCAACTCGCCAACGTCTCTCTCTCTCACACAAATGTTCTCTCTACCCCCTCTCTCTCAAATGAAGTCAGGTTCTCTTTCTCCCCTCTTTCTGGAGCAGCACCTCTCTCTTCGGTGATCTCCTTCCGCCATCACCGATAAAGAAACAAAAGCACACTTTATTTTATTTTTTATTTTTAATTAACAAATTTAATAGATGTTGAAATTACCTTAAAAGCCCTCCTTAACAGCTGTGATTTTCCATCATTAGATTAAAAATATCATCTAATGTTGAGATCAACTTAATCAAGTGACTAAATCTCTCCCCCTTGGTCACTTGATTTTATTGCATAATTATGCAACTACATGACCCCTTATTATTGATAGTAGACACAGATTCAAAATGGTTGTTGTTGATCTTTAAGGCTACAACAAAGATACTTTTTCTGCTCACGCAAAAATTTAAATGACCATATCTCCATCATTTCAACTCCAATGTCAAAAACTTTCGCGGAGAAAATAAGATTAGTTATGCTCTACATGATAACCTCCATTTTTATAAATTTTGAACAAAAAATTACATCATGAACGACATGCTCATAGGATACTGGTAATATGGTACACGGTGATAGTTATAAGGTGGTATGATTGTGATACAATGATTTTAAGATGGTTGTACGTGTCAAAAATAAGTTGACTCATGGATTGATGAACAAATTTTACTTATCAATGGATGTCGATGTTAGTATGCTAGTTTCCCGATTTTTGTATTGGAGAAAAGCCAATTTGCAGAGCAAATGCGTCGATAATGGCGTGATTTGCATTGAAGGTTGGCCATATAAACAAAGCGATTCTCCGTGCCTGTCAAATTTCTCCCATTTTGATTACGGCCTCGAACAAATTGCGACATTACCCCCTTATTCAACTCATATGACTAAACAATTAGATAGTTGTGCGTAGGTTAAATCGCCAATTTGCAGAGCAAGAGCATCGAAAATGGCGCAACTTGCATTGAAGGTTGGCAAGAACGAATCCCGGCAATTCTCCGTGCCTATCAAATCTCTGTATTTTGAATATGGCCTCGAACAAGTTGCAACATTCCCCTTAGTTTTGATAAAGTTTGAAGCTTTTCGTATTAATCTGCTGCTTTCATTTCCTATGGGTTGTGAGATTGAATTTATTCTTGTGATGCTCTTTCAGGACTTAACAAATCGGATTAGAGAAGATGTCGAAGAATCCAAAGGTCTTCTTTGACATAGTGATAGATAAGATGAAAGCAGGCAGGGTAGTAATGGAACTGTTTGCAGATACAGTCCCCAGAACAGCGGAGAACTTTCGAGCTCTTTGTACCGGGGAGAAGGGCATTGGAAGAGTAGGGAAGCCTCTTCATTACAAGGGCTCTTCTTTCCACCGAATAATCCCCAAGTTCATGTGTCAGGGTGGAGACTTCACTAGAGGAAACGGCACAGGTGGGGAGTCGATCTACGGCGAGAAGTTTTCGGATGAAAACTTCAAGCTGAAGCACACTGGCCCTGGCATCCTGTCCATGGCGAATGCGGGGCCAAACACGAACGGCTCCCAGTTCTTCATTTGCACTGAGAAAACCCCATGGCTTGATGGTAAGCACGTGGTGTTTGGCCAAGTCGTGGATGGCTACAGCGTTGTCAAGGAGATGGAGAAGGTTGGGTGTTCTAGTGGCACCACTTCCAAAACTGTAGTTATTGAGGATTGTGGTGAGGTTCCTGGGGGGCAGTGAGGCGATTCAGAATTGTTGTTGGGCAATGGGGCGGCTCGGATGTTGAAAAGATGTGCTTGTTTTGGTTGCATCACTGTTTTTTCCTTATGTGATCTCCGATCACAACAAAGAATCATCAACTGTAAATTTTAACATATGAATTACGATGCTCGTTTGAAATTTCATTTTATATGCCCCAATGCGAATACATGCCTGAACGAGTAGGGCTCCCAGTTCGTCCTTTACACCGATAAAGCCCGGTGGCTTGATGCTAAGCTCGTGGTGTTTGGCCAAGTTATCGACGGCCATAGCCTCGTTGAGGAGATGGAGAAGGTCGGATCTAGAAGTGGCACTACTTCAGCAACTGTTTCTATTGGCGAAACTTCATTGATCATAACAACTAAGATCGTTGAGAAAGTTTCATTTTATGAATGAAATGTATGCAGATGTTCATTGTTTTCTTTCTAACAGTCATTGTTTTTCCTTTGGTGATCTCTGGATCACGTTCGAAACTTCAGTATACATGTTGATGTGTAATGTGCATTGCTGTTGATATCTAAACATGAAATGGGCTCTTGACAGAAATCTCGACGATCAAATCCATGGATAAAAACGAAGTCTGTAATGTGTGTATTCTACGACTTCTAGATAATCATATGTAATCAAATCTGCTTCTGGAGAGCAACATAACAAATACAACAACTCATTATTCAAACCAAAATTACGATACAGCCGTTTTCCCTCTCTGCATTCCTAATCATCATCCTCAAGCATTTGATCCTCGGTATCTTCTTTAGGTGGCCTAACCACCAAGACAACAGTTCCCAAGCTCTCTCCAACTCCTCTCTGCTTCAATGCCGATCCTTTCTCCACCTTCAACCCACTACCCCTGCCATCCCCAGAATCATCAACTGCAACCAAGTAAAACCCATCATCTACTTCCACACCCTTTCTCGCCCTATCAGCCACAACCAAAATGGCTTCTTCCTTGTACCATCTATTCACTCTCCAGGGCAGAGCTCTGGCATCAGGAAACGATACAACAACTCCACCTTCCCCTAAAATAGCAACCGGCTCCCATCCAGGCAGAACAATCCATCTCCCCCAACCTTTATCCGCTTCCACCTCGCCGAATTCGCCCCCGGCTTTGCTTACCCATGGCGCTTCAACGATTTCCTTATCCCTCCCTTCTGCTCTGCAAACCGGCAGAACCACCACGGTAGTCGATTCTGCAACTTCCCCTGTTTTCATCCTCACGACCGGAACGCGAACCCCATCAATGGCTGCCTCTTGTTTGTCTCCTTTGCCAGCACTAGTGTCCCCTTCCATTTCCCTCAACACTGCCTGTTTCGCCTTCTCGGATTCCGCGGCTTCCAGAGCCGATTGCAAGGAGGCAGTTCTTGCGTCCGACGGGTTCTTGTGCTCCTTGGCCTGCCTGAAGTACAAGAAAGCCAAGCAGTCCCCAGGGAGGTTATAATCGAAATTCTCCCAACCCTTTTCCCCTCGCCGCCTCGGGAAATCCTTCATCGAACGGGCGAGATCCTCCGCTCCCCCGGCATCGAAGCGGTTCTGGATGATGTAATGTGCGGCAGCGGCGCGCTGCGTGGTGCTGAGGAGGCGGATCTCGTAGAGCAGCTCGGCGCCGCCGGTCTCGAAGTGGGAGATGAGTTCGGGCCCGGTTTTGGACTCGATGAGGGAATCGCGCACCTGAGCTCCGACCACGAGCCGGTTCTGCTCGACGCCGGAGATTCCGGTGACTTCCTCGATGGAGGAAGGGGCGTATCCTTCGCGGATGAGGGAGGTGATGAGCGGGGCGTACTCGTACCAGAGCCCGGCCCTGCTGGAGAGGACTTCGAGGCGGGCGGCGGCATCGAGGGAGCTGTACTTGGCGGGGAGAGGAGACGGCGGCGGGCGGAAGGGCTGGTACGGCTGTAGGTTCTTCGGCGGAGGGTTGGCCGGGATTAGACTGGCGGAGATGTTGGGTTTTGCGGAGGTTTTAGTTTTAAGGGTGGAATTGCGCGGGTGGGGGATGAGGAAGAGCGGGTGTGGGTTAAGGAAGGCGGAGAAAGAATTGGAGTGGTTGAAGGTGGTGATGGGTTTTAGAGCATTTGCAGAAAGAGATAGCATGGTTGAAGATGGCATGGCGGTGAGAAGGGAATTGAATTCGGGAGAGGAAGAAGGAAGGAGATGTATATGGATATGGCTACGGCTGAGGGATGATTTTGATCCGTCGTGTTTGTTGTGAATTAACAGTATCTTATCTCATCTGTTTCTTGAGATGAAATTTTTGGGTTATGATATTTCTGAGGCAGGAAAACGGATTGTATAGTGGGCTTAGCCATTGGTTGTGTTGGATTGTTGGGCCTTGCCAAATGCTCGGAAGTCTATGATCCCATTAAAAAAAAAGCCTATGTAAATATTAAAAAGAAACTAGTATAAGCCCGTTCGCTATCACTTTGCGCTGTAGCGAGAAGCCAAGAACATGAGTTTCTAAAAATTAATAGTTTAAATGTTGATCGAATAGTGTAAGGGTAGTTCTTTGTTTGCGATTATAGAGATTAGTTTAATGGAAGCATGATTTGAAATTGTTCCGAATTTTATGATATTTTTTAAAAGTGAAACAGAGGAGATATCGGGAAGACGAAATTAACAATGGCAAAATTTAGTAGCGGTCGTGGGAAACAGTGGAGGGGACAACTTAGAATTCTTCCAACAGTGTTTCGAAATTGGTTGTAAATTGATGGGTGAAGGCGATAATGGGACATATCATATATATATATATATGTGGTGCCTTCTACGGTACCCCGAGTGAAATCCGGGGTACCGCATACCTTGAGTATGAAAACGCTATCTAGACCTCGAATTAGCAGGATTTTTGGGCATGATATTATACCCTACTCTTAATGAGTGAACCCTAGGTCCTAATTATCTAAATCATAAACTATTAACCCTAAGATGGTGCATTGATTTTTTGCCTATATTTAGACGAATCATACCATCGATTATTGTTTCTAATTAAATTGATCTTCGGGTATAAGATTTAGAGAATTAAGACCTAGATGTTGATCTTTAAGAGTTAGAGTATAATATCATGTCCGAAAGATTAGTCAATTCAAGTTCTGGATAACGTTTTCTTACTAAAGGTATGCGGTACCCCGGATTTCACACTGGGTACCGTAGAACTCCCCATATATATGGTATGGATTTTCAGTAGCAGTTGTGACAAATGGTGGAGGGTGAAAATTTTGGATTTCTCCTACAGTTTTTCAAGTTGGATGGCGAATTGGTTGGCGAATCAGCACTCAATAGATGAAAACTCAGTGGATAATAGTTATCCCGGAGAAATTAGTGAATAATAGTTGAAAACCTAGTCGACAATATATGCGATGGGAAACCTAGAGGAGAATAGATGTAGACCCACCGGATAATAGCTGAACACAGAGGTTCTTGAATGGGTGAGTGGGGTAAAAGAAGGTCTTCCAAATTTGAGAAGCTTAGGAGAAGGATATGCGAGTGAAGGAAAACAACTCACATAAAGATTGGTCACTTGCATTTGGAGGAGTTTGAACACCGTTAATGAATAGTAGCTAACATATTTGGAATTAATATAAACCCATAGGAGAATAGATGTAGACCCAACAAATAATAGTTGAACACAGATGTTCTAAAATGAGAGAGTGGGGTAAAAGAATGGTATGATTAGTGAAAATAAAAGCAAAAATCAAAGAACAAGATTGAATTGAAGGTGATGGCCCAAAGGATGAGTTGGGTGCCAAGGGTTGAAATGGTAGGATAAGCGAGATTTCTAGTAAGGGGATGCTCGAGGAAGATGGATAGAGGTTGAGAAAGTGAATGATGGTGATATGGTGGAGTTTTGGTGGAGGATTGAGAGAGATTTTGAAGCAGTCTGGAAAATGAGTTTCTCGAGATGCGGCTGTGGGGAACTAAGATGAGAAAGAGTGGCGGAGGTTTACTACCAGAGCCCAAAAATTGTCGACCAAAGGGCAAAACGACGGTCCATCTTCGTTTTAGCCGCAATTTTGGGTGGATGGGTGGTGATTTTTGAGCTATTGGTGTCATTAATCAACTGATTTAGAACATATTTTTATCAAATGATATTTTATAATATTTATAATTACTCTGCAAATTTTTTATTTTTATTATATTTTATAAATTTAATACATCTATCCTGTAATAATATAAATTCACAAATTTAGTACATATATTTTATAATATTATTTATTTATTTTTCATCCTATTTGCACGCTTTATTTTTTCATTCCAAACAACAATTTTCTTTTCCACTTACATCCCACCAATTTTCCCCTTAACTTACATCCCTAGTTGTCAAACATAATTTCAGACCGAAGATACTGAGATGGTAGAACTGACTAGACACAATCTTGGCAATTTAACGTGCGTGCTCTTCCGTCTAACAGCTCATTGTCTAATGAAATCCCACTCGGCAAATTGATTAAGACTAAATATACATAAAATGACCGATTGGATGGCTTAAATATGATCTCAGAAACAAAAATTCTTGAGCTTATCAGCACTAGGGTGCTTAGGGTGGAAGCCAACAGCTGTTTTGGCATTCAATAATGCCTTCCTCATACAAGCATATTCTCTGATACATTGCCAGAATGAACATTTTTATAAAGACTGAAACAACAACATTTTTATCGTAAAATAAAACCCTTCTAAAAGATCTTTCACTTGGTTGAGAACCAATCCCTCACCATTGACCAATCTTTTTTTTTTGGTAACTCCATTGACCAATCTTTTAATGGTACGCTTCTTTGAATTGTGGGTTTCTAAAATACGTAAATATATTATGAATACAAAAAAAAAAAATTCTTCAGTAGGCAAATTTACAACCGCACAAAATAAACGATAGTCTAATATTTACTTTGGTTTAGAAAAAGTTAACCTTGGCTTGGATGAAAATTTCTTGAAATATTGAAATGAGTGGAAATTGAATTAATAAATTATTAAATATTGTTGTTTGAGTATACGATTTTAGCAAGGTTGTTAATCTGGTTTAGTTCGTTAGTCCGGTCAAGTAAGTTGGTTGAGAGTTAATGGTCATGTCATTTTAGCCCTATTTAGCACATATATATAAGAACGTCATATTATAACTTAGGAATCCAAATATAGGGTTAAGCGAAGGGGAAAACTGAAAAAGAAACTAGTATAAGCTCGTTCGCTATCACTTTGTGCTGTAGCGAGAAGCCAAGAACATGAGTTTCTAAAAATTAATAGTTTAAATGTTGATCGAATAGTGTAAGGGTAGTTCGTTGTTTGCGATTATAGTGATTAGTTTAATAGAAGCATGATTTGAAATTGTTCCAAATTTTATGATATTTTTTAAAAGTGAAATAGAGGAAATATCGGGAAGACGATATTAACAAAGGCAAAATTTAGTAGCGGTCGTGGGAAACGGTGGAGGGGACAACTTAGAATTCTGCCAACAGTGTTTCGAAATTGGTTGTAAATTGATGGGTGAAGGCGATAATGGGACATATCATATACTAGGTGGCGATGTCGCGCCTTGTCGCGGGCGGAGATTGTATATGGGCATGTATTATGTGATCCGTTATAGTGTTTGCTTGTATTATTAGTCTAATATTAATTTTTTGTTAGCAGTTTTGTTAGTAATATTGACTTGATAATATGATATTAACTGAGAAGAGATATATTGCGGTCAACATCCAATTTAATTTTTTTTGAAAATTTTAGGCTAATAAATGATATTTACCTAAAACCAAATAGACCCATTGATTATGGGTAGGGTATGGGTGACGTATATATGTGTTTGAAAGTTTATAGATGGGTTTGGGTAGGGTATGAATATGTACTTACATAATCTAAATGTGTATGAGTTGGGTATGGATACTCATTTATTCGAGGGTGTTTTAATTACACATACAAAAATTAGACATATTTGTAGAACTTCAAAAGTTTAGGCACCAAAATGTCATACGCAAAATATTTAGATACTAAAATTTAATGTTCAATAAATATTTTGGGGACTTATATGCCAAAAAAATAAATTAGGTTATAAATCTAAAGATGTATTAAGTTTAGGTACCAAACTGTAATTTGTATATTTGAGGCTTAATTCCCTTATGGTGATATATTTAAGATGATAATTATTTATTTTTTTTTATAGAAAATGGAAACTATTATTTGATATGCGTAGATACCTAGCCAAACATTCCATATATAATTGTCGAAAATTCTAACTCGGGTGAAAAAGAAAAACTCCGGGGAGAAGAAAAATGAATAGAGACTGGAACTCGCTTAAAATTTCACGCCTTCAAATCTCATAGTGGAAAATGATTACTTTCAAATAAGTAATAACCATATTTATTTATTTTTAATTGGACTCGACATTGAGCTGAAAAAATTAGTTGTTCATGGTTCAATTATTAAATCTCTAGACTGTTGGTAAGTCGTATGGACCCGTTCATACTTGAGATTAGTATTCATAAAAATTGTATACTAATTACGGTTAGATGAAGAAGGCAAAGAAATAAATAAAGAGTTATGGAAGGCGAGTGAAAAATGAAACGAAAAGCAAGTAGATGATGGAAAGGTTTTGACCAATTCTTCTAGCTGGCCGTCAATACAACAATCAACCATTTTCACCGTAGCAATTTATTGACACTTGCTTATGTAGATATCGCCTATTTTGTTGCATGTAGTTAGTAGAAGTTTTTTTAGTACCCCGTAAATGTACTAAATGAGTTTATAAAATTGCTATTGTAATATTTTAGAGTCTTCTCTCTTTTATCATTTATATAATGTTTCATGCAATGAGCAAATATAAAATGGTCGAATCTTCTCCTACAGTTGAGTGATACAACATCTTGTATGGTACAAACTAAATTTATATTTTTTGTTATGGTAGATTGGATTCATGGATTGATTCAAAATGATTATCGGATTGGATTCATGGATTCAAGTGAAATCTAAACATTAAACCAATATGTAAATATAAAAAAATTGTAGGTACGAAAAGCTCATAAAATTTAGATAACAAAACATAATTGTTCAATAATTTTACATTAAAATTAAATTTGGGATATCAAAATGTAAATGTACATTATAGTAACTAAATTGTA